GTCTATTAGAAAGTATGGTTACAATTAAAATTCGCATGTTACCAATAATACTTTTATTTACGAATTTTCACATAAAGATTCGCTCGTTACGGCTTTACGAATCACTCGTTACAGCTTGACCAATCACCCGTTACATTTTGATAATCACTCGTTCTCCACGGAGATTCGAACGTCACGTGTTATTGTCTAGTGGTTGTTTAAGGTTAGCTGTATCGCGGAAAGAAAGGGTGACATAATCATCTCGTGGATTTCGGAACAATCGAGAAAGGCCAGAGACGGCTCTAGTAATAACAAAACAAATGGCGTGGGACCAATGTTGTAATATTCCAACAAAGTAGAGTGTCCTATAATTAGATCTATAGTGACACATGATAATAAATATACATCCCTAAATCATGAAGAAAAACTTTTACACGGAAAATACCCAGCTGCACTGACACAGCAAGACATAAATAATTAACTTTCGCTAACTTGACTAAGACAAGGACAACTATACCCCGAGACTGAGGGATTTGTAATAGCAATTCAAGATCAAGTAATCCGTACAAGAAAATATTAAAAACTTATCTTGAAAGCGAATGTAGAGGATGTATGCAGAAAATGTCGAGCACCTAATGAAACAATAGAACACATTACGGATGGATGTTCCGCACTATCAAATAGTGTTACCTAGGAAGACATAATCAGGGTAGCCAAAATAATACATTCCCAGTTAGCCCAGAAACTAAACCTAATTGGAAAACCTCCACCGTACTATCGCTATAATCCAGAGCCAATTTTAGAATCAGAGAACATTTTATATTGGGATCGACCGATACTTACTGATCGAACAGTGGATTACAACAGACCTGATATCGTCCTTATAGGAAAAGAAACCAAAGAAGCATTTATAATAGACATTGCTTGCCCACTTAGCCATAACGTTGTGAAAACAGAATTTGAAAAAACCACAAAATATGAAAATCTTGCCATAGAAATAAAACATGAAGAGAGTACAAATAATCCCAATAGTAGTTTCGGTTACAGGAATTGTCTCCATAAACCTTCCAAAACAACTAGAAAAATTATATATACCTCCTATTATACCACATCTACAAAAAGCAGCCATCCTACAGACCTGCCATATATTGAGGAAATTTCTTCTTCAACAATGTCTAATGCAACCAGCAAATAGCTGAGACAAATCAAATAAATAATAATAATAATAATAAACCCAGACAGCACACCAAATCCTTTGGATATCTACTGGAGACCCCTTTATCCACAGAATGTCTAGTCCATGATGGATATCTATTTTATATCCATGAGATGTAATTTATAGACATGCAAATGTCCATAAATAATAATAATTATATAGCAAATTATTAAAAAATTACACCATTGAGGCTAATAGTACCGTTCAGATATTTAAAATTAATTTTTTTAAGGTATATTCAATATCCCATGGACATCCACTAAATATATCAAAGTCTAGGCGCGAACGCAAACCATCGTGGATATCCACTAGATGTAATTTTTGATTTTGCTTACTAAGTATAGATGGCGATACCACTTTCGCATCTACTCATGCTCAACCCGCCGTAATTGAGTTCGATCAAAATTTGTATAGAAATCAGACTCCATTAGAGACTGGAGTCCAGAATTTCCATTTATTGCTGAAGAGTCCTACTAAAGATGACTTTCTCCTTAGTGGACAAAATCAAAGGCAGAGTTTTGAAAATATTTTGAGTGTTGAAAATATTTTTTATCTCTGCTATTCTTTCGACGTTATTCAATAATCATTGGTTACTTCTGAACCTCTACTAAAGATACCCATAAAATATTTTGCTGAATATCCGAATATCTTCTATATCCTGGGATATAGACGGACATTTGGTTGGATATCCATATTGGATATCCACAAAATATATTCTGTGGATATCTCTGGGATTTCTTGTATTGTCTGGAAGATACCCATTAGATATTTTGCTGGATATCCATAGGATATCTTCTATATTCTGGATATAGACGGACATTTGGATATCCATATTAGATCCACGGGATATTTCTGATATCCCGTGGATATATTGGATATCCACAAAAGATATTCTGTGGATATCTCTGTGATTTGGTGTCTTGTCTGGGAATGTAAACGATTTAAAACTTATTTGCTAAAAATAACGAAGAACTACAACACCTCATAAAAATAGTAAAAGATTTTAGCGACGATATAGGAATGAAATTTGGAACAGACAAATGTGCGAAAATAACCATAGAGAGGAGAAAGCGTAATATTAGATAAAGACACGGAAATAAAAGTTAGAGGGAAATATGCCCTACAAATATCTAGGAGTAGAAGAAAAAGATGATATTGAACATGAAAATATAAAAAGAAAGTATCCAGAGAATACTACAGAAGAGTCCGGTGGATTTTAAATAGCCAATTGACAGGTAAAAACAAATTCACAGTAATAGATAACACTTGCAGTCCCGGTACTAGGCTATAGCTTTGGTATTCTTAACTGGAAAGAAACGGATATTCAGAAGATAGATACTAAAACTAGAAAATAACTTACTACATCCAAGAGCAGATGTAGATAGACTATAACTTCCCAGGCAATCAGGAGGCCAAGGTTTAACAAATATTGAAGAAACTTATAAATTAACAATTATCGGACTAGCAAAATATAGAAATAAAGAGTGAGGACGGACTCATATCAATACTAAAAGAATATGAAGGGAAAATCAATACTTAAACGTGGAAGAAAGCTAATCAGAGAAAACACCGAAGAGGATATAAACAATGAAAAGACAGCGATAGAAAATGTTAAAATACTGAAAAAACAGATTAAACAAATCATACAAAAGAAAGAAGAGCAATACCCGGGCAATATGCAAGAGAAATGAAAATATTAACAGAGAACTAACATTCAGCTGGTTAAAGCACGGATCCATCAAAGGAGAAATCGAATCACTAATAAACGAGCCCAAGATCAAGCAATAACTACCAACTTTATAAAAAAAAAGAATACATAAAGCAAATGTGGATCCAAAATTTCGCATCTGCAAGCAATATAACGAAACCGTAAGGCATATAATGACAGGGTGTCCAATATTAGCCAGCAAAGAATACATCAGCCGCCACAATAAAGTATGTACAAACTTGCACTACAATATATTCCAGCACTACAAAATAATAACGGAAACAAATTGGTACAACCATATTCCTAAAAGCGTCGAAACCAAAGATGACATAACAATAATCTGGGACACCCAAGTACAAATAGACAGAACAATTAATTCCAATAAGCCAGATATAATAAAGATCTAGGCCAAGAAGTCTGCTATATTATAGATACCATCCGACAATACAGTTACTCAAAAGGAAGCAGAAAAGAGACTGAAATATAGAGATCTACAAATAGAACTAAGTAGGATGTGGGGCTTAAAAACTACAATATTACCGGTCATCATAGGAGCCACAGGAACAATCCATACAAATTTCACAAATATTCTTAAAACTATACCACAAAACAACATACCAGGTGCAAAAAACAACAGTATTAGGCACAGCACACATATTAAGAAAAGTAGTAACATAGTTGTAACAGAAGAGTCTCTACCTGAGGAAACAGGCAGTTTCTTGGAAGAAGACGTAATAAACAACGAAATCGGAGAAGAAAGAAAATAATAATAATAGTTTATTTGCCAAAAATATATACATTCAGATACAATAAAATACAATAGGAAATGAAATGTAAATAAACAAGAAGTGTTACTGAATCTGCTCACTGTACAATGACAGATTGTGTGTGACAAAAATACGACAAATGATAATAAATAAAACATATAAATATAATAAAAAGAATTTGAAAATATGCAGCAGAGACAATTAAAAATTAAAAGTAAGGAAATACAATATTATTAATATAAATAAAAATGATATAAATACAATCTTATACACTTTTGAAGTAAACTTTATTTACAATATACCTCAACATACCTCATACAACAAACATTACTTCTACACAGAAAAACATTTTAAAAATATTCAGATTCCTTAACGTTTATAATATACTTTCCAATTATTTAATTTCTATTTTGTTTATTCGATTATATTACGGAAAAAAGTTCGCGGTGTTTTTGTTATAAATTCTTTTCAAAACCGATAACTATTTTGTCCAACTGATTTATTAATTCGTGGTAGTAAATAATTGTCCGTTTCTTGTGTCATATTGATGCAATGGTGTTTGTAGTTCATCTTGATTTTGAAATTGATGGGCGAGTGCTGCTATCGTAAGTCAAATATCTGGGTTTCTTGATACACATTTTCAGTAGGATACCTTCTATTTTTGTTGAACATTATTTTTAAAAAAACTTTTTTGAATAATCTCGACTTGCTTTAAGTGCGTTTTAGTGACTTCACCCCAACCAATTATTTCATAGTTGAGATGAGATTCGAAAAGGCTATGATACAAAATTCTCTTCTGTTGTAATTCTAGCATTAACACTTCAAAATATTTAGTTTTCTTGAAAGCTAGGTTTAAAATTATATAGACTTTTTTATGAAAATACAATTATATTTTGTATATATCATTCCCGATAAATAGTTCTTGAGATATGACCAGACGCCGCCATTATACGGTTAAGAATGAATCTTAGTGAATAATTTTTTTAACAATTCATAATAATTAAACTGTTAAATTAGTTTGAAAAACACTAAAACGTAAAGCCTATAGTCTGAAAATGTTGTTTTTATTTATTTAAAATTTCGGGAATTGATTGAATCCCAGTTGTGACAAAAAATTATATTTTTAGTGTTATTCCTTTGCATGATAAATGGTAGTTACAATTTTTAATAAGCCCTAGAAGTGTGTTGCTGTATCTCTATTAGAACACCCATTCTTTCAAACATCTCTACAATATGGACAAAGGAAAATAAAAATCAAGCGATTTTAACAAAAACCATATATTAGTACGTTTAAAAAAATAAAATAGGTACTTTTGGGTATGTTGATCACTCAGCTAACCTCTTTACAAGTATGTTCAATAAATATAGGCCTAAAATCTCTAATAATATCCTCTTTGATACCCCCAATACTTCTATCTTGAACATTGTGGCGTTGAATAAAATCGTTCAATAAACTAGAAATCTTTTCTGGATTATTTAAATGTAAATGATGACGTCCCTCGACATAGTGAAAGTCACAATCAATGCTGGCTTTTTTTAGAACATCCAATACTTGATAATATTTTTCTTTTTTTTCGTAATAACTCGACTCAGATGCTTTCATAACGAAAATAGGCATTTTCATGTTTTCCGCTAGTTTAACCATTTCCTCCTGACAAAAAGAGATCAATCCGCCTGTTTTTATTCTGGGGTCTCTTGTGAAATAGTATTTACCTGGAACATTTTCATATTCAATGCACGGAATGTAATTCGTAAAAACTATAAACTAACATAAATAAAATATACTTGTGTTTAAAAAAAAAAAATACTGATACCGACAGAATAAAGACAATGGAAAATAACCAGACAGAAATCCATTAAATCCATGCCATGTAAAATTTAAAAAATCAATCAATAGAAAATCGTATAAATAAAAGGTCATGTTAAAACCAACAAAGTAAATTTAAAACTAATTACAATGATTTAATAAAATGTTAGCGAGTTACTTTCTCGGCAAATGGTCATAGGATCTTGGAAACTTTAGTAGGTAGTACAATAAACGAGGATCAATTAAATGTTTTAGGAAGTCCATTTAAGATAATTTTCTTCCTAAATGCTACATTTGTCTAAAGCTGACCGCAAACAAAAGGACAGATTATTTTAGGCTTATTTAAAAATATAGGTTATTAATTACTAAACACAAAACCAACCATGGCTTATCCTGGTTTCACCCAGACGTAAAAATAACAACAAACTTTGGTGCTAGATTTTTTGAGCGAGTGTAAAGGAAACCCTAATTATAGTTAATGAGGAGGCTGTAAGCTTTGATTTGACGCCAACTGCATCAAAATAGAAGCACGTTTTGCAAAACGCGCGATGAAATCGTGCATTTTGCTAATAATGCTTCTATAATGAACACAACTGGTGTCAGATGAAAGCTGACAGCCTTCTCTTTAACTATAACAATTAGGGTTGCCTTTGTTTACATATCTTAGGTTTGCACTCACTCCAAAAATGTAACACCTAAGTTTGTTTTTATTTCGATGTCTGCGTAAAATTAAAGCAAACCATGGTTGTTCTGGTTTTTAGCAATAATTACTATCCTATCATTATTTCTATTTGGCCTAAAATAATTCGCTTATTCGATTTTTGGAGCCGGTTCTGTCTAATAATTTGTGTGACAGAACTGACTGTCACTACAAAAATAAACAAAAGTAAATGTGGTGTTTTTTTTGGAATGAAAAATTATATGGAACTTGAAAATTGGAATTGTAGCTACTCATCATAAATAAATAATGACGTATTTTAGGGTTTTTGGATTATTACATTTTAAGGGAGGGAAATTGGTGGTGAAAGTTTATAGAGGGATATAGATTTTTTTTTAAAGGTAGGAACCTGAAAATTTGAATTGTAGCTACTCATCATATATAATTAAGTATTTCAGGAGTTTTGAATTTTTAAATTTTAAAGGGGGGAAACGGAGGGGAGGAGGTGAAAGTTTGTAGCTATAGGAATTTTGATTTTTTAAAGGTGGGGACTTGAAAATTGGAATTGAAGTTATTCATCATAAATAAATAATGACGTGTTTCCAGGTTTTGGACTTTCACATTTTAAGGGAGGAGAAAAGTGGTGAAATAAAAATAAATTAAAATAATAAAAAAAATAAATAAAAATAAAAAAATGAAAATAAATAAAATTAATAAAAAACACCCCGACAGCCTAAGGGAGAGGACCGTTTTTCTCGAGGACATACATATCATGAACCCTAAAAAATATATTACCCCTAATTTTTTTTGGAAAGTCATGCATTTTTTTATATTAAAAACACGACTCCACGCGTGCGAAGCCACGAGCAATAGCTAATATTATGTAAATGAAAGAAATAACATAATACTTCTTTTGTACAGACAAATTATCTAGATCCTTTTGAAGTAAACTAATATCAAAATCATTCAGAACCATTAAAAATAATTTGAGATCATCAGCGAACATTAAAAATTAACAATGCTTTATACAATCTTTGAGGTCGTTGACAGACTAAATAGCAAAGGAGAAGAATGCCCACCCTAAGGAACCCCAGACTTGACATCGATCTCTTCTGATAAAAAATTGCCAATTTTTACCATCAATCTCCTCTCACTAAGAACACTATACCAATAAAAACTCCCAGGCCGGATATTTTGCTAAGTAATAGAGATATTTTAATTCTGTAAAAGCCAGTTCACAGATCACTAAGAGACCTTCAGTTTTATATATAAATTGATTTTAAATAGGTCAACATGTAGATGGCGCTGCGCTCAATAATTTTTTTTAGATGGGAGGATCTTTCTTGTATAGCGCATCTTGTAAAAAATGCATTTTTAAGTAGATTTTGTTCTATAAACTAATTCGATATATCTAGCCATTTTTGATATACAGAGTGGGTCATTCAAAACAGTTTCATCCTGTTTTTCAGCATAAATCATTGGATTTTAAGAAAATGCTGAAACAGGTCGATTTTTATTCCAAATTAAAAACACCTACAATACAGACATTTGTCATGTGTCAACCCCCTCCCTTGCACTTCTCCACACCTTAATTTTAAATAGGTAATGTACCATGTATGGCACATCATTGAAAAGGTAATTTAATGGGGGATTTAGAAATATTTCTGTTCATTGCGTTACTTAAATCGCCCTCTAGCGAGATAAAAAACTACTAAATGTTATAGAGTGTGATACTACAATGTGCAGTACATTATTAAAAAGGTAATTTTATGGGGATTTTTTTTTTAATTAGTTGAATGGCTGTGGTAGAAACTAATTAGCCAGACTTTACGGGGAATTTAGAAATATGACTGCTCAATGCGATACTTTTAATTGTATCGCCCTCTATCGGGATAAGAAACTACGTATTTTAAAGTGTGACACCTTATTTGAAAGCAAATTTAATTACTAATTCAATGTACTACATAACATTAATATAAATATCCTTTATATTGCACTTGCAATAGTTTGAAAATTAGTCATGCATTATTTGAAACATTATTGCTAGCTTTATTTTATTGCAAAGGCAATATTTATATTAATGTTATGTGCTGCATTGAATCAGTAATTAAATTATCTTTCAAATGAAGTGTCACACTTTATAATACGTTACAGATTTTTTTATCCCGATAGAGGGTGCTAAAATTAAAAGTATCGCAATAAACTGTCATATTTCTGATTTCCCCATAAAATTACCTTTTTAATGATGTGCCGTACATGGTACATTCATTATTTAAAATTAAGGGGTTGGAGAAGTGGAAGGGAGGGGGTTGACACATGACAGATGTCTGTATTGTAAAAATGTGTTTAATTTGGAATAAAAATCGACCTGTTTTAGCATTTTCTAAAAATCCAATGATTAATACCGAAAAACAGGATGAAACTGTTTTGAATGACCCACTCTGTATATCAAAAATGGCTAGATTTATCGAATTAGTTCATAGAACAAAATTTGCCTAAAATACATTTTTTACTAGATGCGCTACATAAGAAAGATCCTCCCATCGAAAAAAAATTATTAAGCGCAGCGCCATCTACATATCCTATTTAAAATTAATTTTTATCTAAAACTGAAGCTCTCTTAGCGCTCTATAAACTGGCTTTTACAGAATTAAAATATCTCTATTACTTACCAAAATATCCGGCCTGGGAGTTTTTATTGGTACACCCTGTATACCCCTTTTGCTAGACTGTTTGAAAAACTTGGATTTTTAATTTCTCAATCAACAACCGGTGATTAACTCTGTCAAATGCCTTGGAGAATTCGGTGTATATGGCATAAACCTGATACCCCCTCTCCAAGGCATCTGACATTTTACTAGTATATTATAAGCAGCTTCAAATGTGGCTTATGTGACACCCCTTATAAAATAGACAGGTGTTAATATGAAATTATAATATGACATACCCAAAAACCACCAATTTCAAATGTTTATCATAAATTTCTAAAAACGTGAAAGTTTTTAGGAAAAATAAATTTTAAAATTTCACCTTTCTATATCTGTCTTGTTATCAATATTGGCTGAAATCGTAATATTTGGGAGTCAAAAATCTACGTACTCTCTATGGTTAATTACTTAAGGACCACCCTGTATAAGTAAATGGCATTAAATTTGTGTGAAATAATTTCTTACCAGGCTGCACCTTTGAAGGAGCAATGTTTCTATCCATAATGTAGGTAGTATACTCCGGTAAAATAGAATTATCGTTAGGTTTGCTGATTAATTCTCGCATTTCTTCAATACTATAACACGGCGGTTCTTTGGAATCGATTGCGTAATCGTTGTATTTAAAGAACTGATCCAGAGCCTTCGCCATATGAATATGCTTGTTACTGGTGATCATTGGTTTCATTGCGTCCAAGCAAATTAAAAAATCTATTTCGGATGGATACAACATGGAGTACACGTATGATAATATGCTTCCTAAAGAGTGGCCCATGAGCGAGACTGCCGGCCAATGAAAGGATTTTGTGATACTTCTGACTGTTAAAATAAAATTGGAATAGTGGTAGATCATTCCTGGTGGAAGACGTGATGAATATCCTTGTCCAGGTAAATCTATCGCAAGAAACCCCACTGTTTTATCTAACGTTGGTATTAATCTATCGAACGTGTTGCAGTTATCCTAAAAGTTACAATTAAAATGGTGATCAGTTTAATAATTTGTTTCACCAATTATTATTTAGACAAAGAATGTTATTTTTTAGCGCAGCGATGGGGAACAAGGACTTATCTTTTGCAAATTGGTGTTATTCCTGGAGGTGGGTTCAGGCAACTTTCAATATTTTTTTACTTAGACTGGAACTAGATTTAATTATCGAACTATAAAAAAATAGTATTCATGGAGGGGACAAATCTGCGTATAGTGGGAATAAGCACCGAAGTCAAATTATCATATATTTTTTATTGACTTAAATTCAGTCTCAATAACTAACTACAAACTTATGACTGTGTAAAATCACATAAGTCAATAATGAAGCATAAGGATGTTTGAAATGATTGTGTATTCGATCCGTGCGTGACAGCAGCGCCAATTCATTTATGTACTAATGGACTATTTTTTGCGTATACTGACTACAATTTTTACTAGAATTCGTATATATTACTTTTAATAAAAGTATATGGATTTGTAAAACAAGTGAAACATTATTTTTATTATTATATATTTTTATCGATTAAACTAAAAAAAAACTAAGTATAATCAATAAAAATTAATAATAAAATATAGGCTGGGTGAATATAACCAGAAAAGATCGGAAGCTTGCATCTGCCTGAGCAAGAACAGGCTACGTATTGTAACAGGGATCCTTACCGGGCATTGCCGACTAAAAAGACAACTTAGTAAACTGAGTAATAGAGGATAGTGAGTGCAGATTCTGTGAGGAGGAGGACGAAACCTCCATTCACATTCTAACTGAATGTGTAGCACTCCGGAATCTAAGGGCCCTATACCTAGGAGGATATCAAATAGAAAAGGGGGATTTACCTAACTAGAAGCCACTCCAAATCCTACACTTCTTTGAGAAGATAGGATTGGAAGGGTCGTTATAGGCATTGAGACATTTCCTTGGTGCATTAGCGATAGAAGAGAGCACAATAGATCTTCTGTCAAAATTAAAAAAATACCATTAAATAATAGCGTGAAGTTAAAATGTATAAACAGAAGGATTGTTATTTATATTTTAATTTTTGTTCGAAAGAAAACATAGAATGAATGATTAAAACTGGTTTCCTATCAGTAAAATTGCATTCTAGCCACATACAATAATCAAAGGCAGAAATAGTTCTTGCCCAACATTTAAGATTAAAAGGACGTTGAAGAACATCGTAAAATAATAATTTATTGTTTATTTAAAACCTTTCGTTTCTGATGTCTACTGCTGTTTCCAGTATTACTGTTATTATTACAAAAAAAAGGTAATTTTTTTCTTATTGTACATCTATCCATTTATTTCTTTGATTTAATTTCCACTTTGCTACTGAAAATTTTAATAATTTACACTGTTTTTCTTTGCTAGTATTTTTACAATTTACAACACAGCAACTCCGGTTGCTTATTGTATTGTTTTTACCTATTTTTTTGAAAAAAGTAAATTGTGTATGCGTAGTGATATGCCAAAATTACAAAATACCACCCTAAAATGCACGAATTATCCGCAGCTAGTCCTAGTATCGCTTTTGCTTCCCCTACCATGACGTCGCACTGAGCGAATATGCACATAGGCAGTGGGTATAAGTCACAGTTATGTGGTTTCAGTCTTCTTGACTTATGTACTTATTCTCCCACTATATGCAGAAATATACTTAGCTGAATCAGGATAAAAATATGAATAATTTCCTATGACTATCTTGTTCTACTGTTGTTAACGAATTTAAAAAAGTTTTGGTGGCTACGAGGGTGGCTATAAAGTGAAAACCTATGGTGAAAACTTATGGTAAAAACTACTGGAAAAAATTCAATGGGCGGTAGTGACTGTTTTTTATAAAAGAATTTGAATAACTACCTATAGGTACCTATTTGTATTGATTGGTCACTAAGACTAAATATTATTGTATTAAAATATTTAATTTGAGTCAATAAAAGGTTTAAAAAAGATTTGTTTATTTCTTTAAAAATAAATTAAAAACAATTTGTTTAAAGCACATTCTTTTAATATGTAATATTTTTGTCTTATCTTTATTTGGCTGCAAAAAGTGGTTTCGTATGTCATTCAATAAAATTGTTCAGTAAATCCAAAATATTTTCAGGGTTATTCAGATGAACATGGTGGGTTGCTTCAACATAGTGAAAATCACAATCTGCACTAATTCTTTTCAGAATATCCAATAATTGATAGTAAGTTTTTTGGGTTCATAGTAACTGGCGTTTTTGGCTTTTACTATAAAAATAGGCATTATCATATTTTCAGCCAATTGGACTAGTTCATCTTGACAGAAATTCAACATCCTACCAGTCTTAACTCTAATGTCTCTTGTAAAATAGTATTTACCTGGAAAAATATTTTGATGCTGCGACATAATATTATTAATATTACTTAAGTGTTTATTGTCAGAAGAAAGTTAAATTAAACTTAAGATAATTAAAAAGAAAAAGAATAAAGTGATGTAGTGTAGCCAATTAGAAGAGTATAGTTACTCTGTAGGCAGAAGACCTAATATATTATGATCTAGGTACATCAAATTATCCATATTAACATAAAATAACTATCGAAATTTTTGCCTATAGTTTTTGCTAAATTTTACAGGAAGATTATTTATGATTTTCCTAATGACTTAAGTAGGCCTATATTTTTGATATTTTGCACGGAAAGAAACAAAGTTTGATATTATAAAAATATCTTACCAGATTCTGATTTTGAGGAAGCAATATTTCTCTCCATCAGATAATTAGCATATTCAGGTAGGACAGAATTATTGTTGGGTGTACCAATTAAGATTTTCATTTCCTCTATAGTATAGCTAGGTGGTTCTTTGGAATTTACAATAAAATCATTACATTTAATACATTTATCATATGCTATTGCCATATCAGCATGTCGTGTACTATAGACTTTTCGTTTCAGTGCTTCTATTCATATTAAAAAATCAACTTCAATGGGATAAATCATATAGGCCATTACACACCCCATAGAATGTCTCATGAGGGAAATTGTTGGCCACTTATAACTTTTTGCAATGCTTTTAATTGCCAGTATATAAATAGAATAATGTTACATCATTCCCACTGGAAGGTTGTGAAGAATATCCATGTCCAGGTAAATCTATTGCAAGAAACCCCACATTTTTATCTAACATGGGAATTATTCTATCGAACGATTGACAGTTTTCCTAAAAAGCGTTTTAACTATGAAGACTAGAGAGAAGTGGGCGAATCGGCAATGGTCAAATTTCAAATTTCCGTCCCTCTTTTTATAAAGTTCGCGAAATTGACTGTAGTTGGCATGTTGAATAAAAGCGGTGTCAATTTTCTATGTAAGTCAATGTAAAATAAAGTGTTTTTAAAAAAATTGGTAAAAAGAATCAAAATAATGTGAAAAAAAGTACCTGAGCACAAGTAACATGAGTGACAAAAAACATTAAAGCAAGATATACGTCGTTTCAGATTGTAAAACAGGATACAAATCAAATGTAAAACTAAAAAAAACACAAGGAGAGGTCAATTCAATATCTTTTTAAAGCTTGTAATGTAAGTAAAATAATGTATTTATGTCTAAATATAATATTTATTGTAAACTAGTCACAATATGCCTCTTACAGAATGTAGTTTATTTTAATACAAGTTTCTATAACATCAAATTTTACAGTCATACATCCTGTCTCACAAACAACAATAATTATACATTAAATTTAACTTTCTAGAAAAGAACATTTATTTTTTATAGAGTTTTAATGTTAGATAAAGAGTTGCTACTGTTATTTATTTTGTTGAACCCCAATTGTAAATGTTTTTTATATGATACTAAACGCTTAGAACAGTGGCAGCATATATATTGTTCCTAGTGCCGATAAAGCACTTTCTAGAGATGATGCTGTTCTATATTTTTTAGAAGATATCAAAAATTATGAGACTATTTTTACTGATGGTACTGTTAGCAAAATAAAAAGGGGAAAGCTGAAATTAAAGGATGAGGTTATACCATGTACATTCCCAAATATCCCTTTATATTTGTATTACAACAATATAAAATCTGTTAACTGTGTTTTATTTTGCTCTTAAAACTATATATAGGTTCAATTCAAAAAAAGTTTGCCACTAAATTGTACTTATCAAATTTCAGCATTTAACAAACCTTTTCGAATTTGGTCATACCTACCTAATTTGTATTTTATATAGATAAAATTAAATAATATATCAATTAAGACATGCAAGACTTATTTAGAAATAAATACAACAGTATGTTATGTGCTTTATTTAGCTATAAACAAGTTTTATTTTATTATTTTGACAAAATTATGTATAATTCCCATAAGAAGCCATGTATTTTGAACACCCTATGCAGTACTAGCGGCCTATGGGGTTAATTATAAAAGCTCTATTATCATGCGTTTTTTGGGACCGTATTTTGAGTGTGCCGATTCACCTCCTTAACTCTAGTTTTAACATAAAAGGATTAAGGGCCCTATTCAGTAATTTATCATTTCTAAACGATTTTTTAGTAAGTTGGTATTATAATTTAGTGTTTTGTGATAAAATAACGTAGGTTGATGATTATATTTGACATTTTTTGAAACTTAAAATAAAAATTCTAACCTGTATAATTTACCTTGTTCTTAACCTACAACATGATCAGAGAAGTGTACTGCGAGATGAGATATTTAAGTAAATACTAATTGAAGAAGTGACCTATATTGCCTCCAATGTTTTTCCCATCTATTTATTTCTTGCAGGCGCTGGTTGTATTGTATAGGGTTTATTTAAATGAGAATGACCATAAAAAAATTGAGAACTACCTGTTCAAGAATACAAAAAACAACTTGAGAATAGTACGAGTTGTATTTGTTGGATTTGAAAGAGATAAATTAAATTTGATAGTGTCAATCCTGATATTTTTTTGTTGGTGCCATCGGCTTCGACAACTCAGGACTCTGGCCATTAGACTCGTTACAGAATAAATACAGTAGTTATCCTGTGGCCTCGTTTTTTGTGTAGGTTATGGAGTAATAGTACTATTATAATAGGCACTCCCATAATATAGGTTTTGTTACTGTTTCACAGTGCTACTTTAGGAACAGCACTGTTAATTAGAATCCAACAGTAAATGCTTGAATGGGCAATCCTACCTATGAATCAGAATTCAATTTTAAGTAATTAAATTAGAAAAAATTCTCTTACAAATTGTACTTGATGTACTAGGTCGATGGCCATATAGTTGTAAAGTATATAACAAATAAGGTTCTTTTATTATGTAGAAAACATCCTGGTCCTTGGTGAAACCTGATAAGTATTTTAAGACAAAAGGGGGTGGAAAAGTCACTAGAATGACACTTCATAATATTAATGATAGCTCTGTGGCTATCATTGATGAATGATAATTTTGTAACCAAATTTGTCTTTCAATGATAATCATTGTCTACTGAATAAGAAAAGTCGTCTGTGAACGATTATCATCTATTAACGACGTCGTTCAGAGTTACTGAATAGGCTCCTAAGTAAATGAATTTATTTACTAGGTCAATGTCTGAAATTATTAAGTAATTAACCAAAGTTCCAAGTTAAGAAAATTCAAAATTACTTTTATTTTTACCATATACACAAATTACTACGATTTCAAAGAAATTTATTTTTAAATATAATTTAACTACCTGCCAACCGTGAATTGTAAGGATAGGCCTTGTGTCGTACGGTTCCCACCATTTACCAGCAACATGTCCCCAAGGAACTTTAATTTCCACTTCTTTGAATTCCCTTTTTACTGAAGACGTCCACCTGACACTTCCGAAACTTTTGTTAAAATTTGTTAACTTTCGAAAACATAACATTGTATCTATAACCTAAAATATATCACCATAGAATAAATTGATATTAGGCACGGGGGTTTATATCATATGCACAATACGTAAACACGTTTCTGCGCATACTCCTCCGCGCTTGGGTGCTCTGAAGTCCGTTTTACAATAGCAAAATTGTATTAAAATGTAAAGCACATTGATTAATTTAATAACATCTCGTTCAGTAACACACAAAAAGTGTTGTTTCAAAAATTTTAATTCATATATTACAACAAACTAAAAAAAACATACCTTCACTTAGTTATTTGTACTATGTGAAGATGGCTTTCTGTCCGCTGCATGACTGCTGGCTGCCCGCTATAGCGGGCCCCGCGCGCGCTGTCAACAAATAACATCAAAATCAAACAAATGTGTGGTTATGTTATGATTTGGTTGTCTTAGATATGTTATTTAGGATTATTTAAAATCAAGTAAAGGTATTTTGATGCTTTAACATGTCTTTACCAGGCAGAATTCATTATAAACGCATAATTTCTAATTGTTATAGTACATTTTATAAGGCCCATTCCAAACGTAAATTTTAAGAACAAACATTTTTAAATTTCCTTCTGATATTGATCAAAGAACGGAATGGTGTCGTATTTTAAACATTTCACTTACAACCCCAATCATTATACATTATGTGAAAATCATATTTTGATACAAAATTGTTTACAAACACAAATCGTTCAAGATTGCTAAAAGATTTGCTTTACCTTGCTTTAGTATCCTCAAAACCAGATACACCAAAGATAGTAGTACTTAGTAATATTGTTATCACACCTCCAAACAGAGTCCTGTGTGGATAAAGTTCATTTTAATAATATATACAAAATTAATAAATAAAGCAGAATTTGAGTCAGGCCACTAGTTATGTTGCAGGGTTTATTAAGAAACTTAATAGTTTTGACTGCAAAGAGTGTAAAGTTAATTTACAGACATGTTAGAAGACCATCGATACTTTTACTTATTTTAAAGAAAATTTTGATAAAAGACGTTTTATTTATGTACAAAGAAATGTTATTGAATTTCTTTCAAAAATTCTTGAAATAGTTTCACAACTTTTGGGTCATATTGACAACATAATTCAAATAATTAAACTTTTTTGCCAGACCATGTTGATTTTAAATGGTTTACATCAGAGGCGACTCGTGGCCTAGTCTATGAGGAGACTACTTTTAAAAGGCACACCCTATATACAAATATATGTCTATAAGAATTCAAAAAGCAGAAATATTTCATTGTATTCTAATAGAAATATATATTTGTATAAAGTATATAGGATGAGCCAGCTTCCTCACAGACTAGGCCACAAGCCGTCTCTGGTTTACATACCTATAAAGAACATAAAACAGATGTCTTTTCTCATTTAGTTGAAACTTGTCTACTATTAATAATAAGAAAGTATTATAATGATAGTATGAGGGCTGCTGCAATGTCTAAAAGACAAACAAAATTATTTGAAGTTACTGCATTTAATTTTTTTCTGTTTCAGTTTATATGGATGGTTGCTTTTGTCTGATTTCCTAAGATTCAAGAAGAATTTGTTGTTTTGTTTTTCGTTTATTTTAAAAATTTATTTATTTAGGCATTAGTTTTCATATCAAGTAAATTAATTATTTGTTATGCAATTTCTGATTTTTGTTAGCCAAAGATAGTTAACGTACCGAAATAGTAATGTAATGTTTGTGATATTAGAGTAACTTTCTTAAATAATCATTTATAAGACGTCCGGGAGCGCCATAGTAAATAATAATAATAGACATTCTTGCTTCGCATAAGCTCGCTTGTATGGGGGTGAAGTATATGAAAAATATTTTTTTGTATTGCCATCTCTTTGATTTTATTTTTCTTGGGAATTTTTAGTAAATATAATTATATAAAACTTTGTATGATATTTATTTTATCCCTCATAATTATTTGTCATAGAATTTTACATTTTTATTGGGCATTTCATAATTGTTACAAACAGCTAATAAAAATGGAAAATTTTAATTATAATTAAGAGGAAAATTTACTTAAGCAATTATCTTTTTCTAAACAATACGAAATAGAGCCACAAATATTTCTATAGTTTAATTTTACTTTTTAGTGAATGAAAAATATATACCTTCAGGTAAAAGTGAAATGTCTGTTTTTCTGGAGCCACTATTCCGAAATTTGATTTAATTATTTTCTCAATTTTTGAAATCTTTATAAAAACAAAATTTTGCGATTTATTGCCATCAAAATTTGATTAAATTTTGAAAAAGTGGCTCCAGAGGAACATATTTTAGCTACACGTACATGTTTTTTATTTCACTAAAAAATTAAAAAAATTACTATCAAAATTTTGTATGGCTATATTTCGTATTAGTTAGAAAATAATTGCAAAAGTAAATTCTCCTTTAAAAAAAAACCGCCAATTTTCAAATTAAATATAAAATTACGGGTAACTGCATTACCGACAGAGTAAGAGTTGATGGTAATACTGCTGGTAACTACATTACCGACAGAGTAAGATTAGTTCTACTCCTCCACCCCACAGGTCGTTGCAAGCAAACATGTTGCCAAATTTCTACAAAGAAACGGCAACTCTTAATAATCCTTCCTCCATGATATTAGGCATTCCAACGACCTGTCAAACAATAGGTACCAGTGGGAAATTCTTGTATATTTAAGGGGGTAGCGACATAGTCTTGCAACTTGGACACTATTTTTATTCGAAGTAGTACTCGCCAAGCCTGCCAATTTATGAAAAAATGTATAGGTGGGTTTTTTAAATATTATTTTTATTGTGTTTGACATAAAATATTTAAATGTAATCCATTATTTATGATTTTACGTAAAGTAGATAAAATACACCATATGTCGCCACCCTTAGATATACCAAACCTGCCCACTGGTAATTCATTTGTTTGGAATGCCTAATTATTTGATCTTTGATCCATTGCTGTCAGTCAACGTCAATCGCTTTTGCTTTGTTTGTTCTTTTTTCTGTTCTAGGTTCTGGAACGGTTGACAGTTTTGATATCCATGGGCGTATCAAATAGTTTTTTCATTAGAATAGAATTACCCGATCAAACGAACTTGTGAAGTTCGATCGTAATTATATGAGGCGCTTCGTCCGAATAGATTACTTTATAATAACTTAGTAGTACCGGTTTTCGGTGCTAGATGAGGCGAGTTCGGTCAGTCAGGGGCTGGAGCGGGACAAATTTTAGGGTGCTTTTAAATGACATTTAAGCGTGTCAAACTGTCACTAATCGGACTAAACCGAACGCTAAAAGAGTTGTTTGGAGTTAAAAGTGTTAAAGGAGTTAAAGGAACGTGGCAAACCGAACGCAATGATGGCACAACGTTCAACGATAAGAAAACTTCTTTATCGGTTAAGAATGCTTACCTACTTTACCGATCCCTTTCACACGTCATAAAGTTTAAAGCAAATTCAAAATATGTTTTTCGATTTGGATTTATATCTACCTGAAACAAATACAAATGGGTTGGGTAAAAATGGGATGGGAAGTAATCTATTCGGACGAAGTGCCTCATATAATTACGATCGAACTTCACAAGTTCGTTTGATCGGGTAATTATATTCGGCGCTTCGTCCGAATAGATTACTTTATAATAACTTAGTAGGCTGTTTAAAGTTACATTGTTTCAGGCTTAGGAAATGTATCAAGATTATACAGTATCTTCTTTGATATTTCCTAGAAAAACAAAAGCTATTGTTTTTAAGCCTATGGTAAAAACAAGCAAAAATTTTATAAACAATCTAACCTACTATGTAAATAGAAAAAGTATCTTTTTTAAGATTCTATGATGAGAATGTAAAACAATTAATACCTAATTATTGCTTCTGCAAATCTGGATTCTTCCAGAGGCCTGTTGTAAAAATTTATAAAAGCTTTCCACAGAATGTCTCCTGGAATAAAGCAGAAAATCTAGCAGTACCTATATACCTGCGTCGCTGGTTTATCTTTCTTAAAACAATTTGATGTATGGTTTAGGTTCCCACTTTTAGTATGGTGGTAAACTGGCAATTAATAAAAATTCCTCGTTTTCCTGATTTCAGCTATTCATTAATTAATATACTCTACCGTTTATGTACGATGCTCTAGCGGAGTAGTAGCGATGCAGATCCTAGAGGATTTTCTACGAGATATTACCAACTCCAACAAACCTTACAAGTTTTAGAATCTTTCTGTTTTGATGTTTTTATGAGCACTGGAATTAATATTTGGATCAAACCTGTGATTACGATATTTTGTATTTTATTAGTTTGTTTGCATAGCCAGTTATCAGGGAAATTAAGATTGTGGTCTTTTGGACTAACTGTTCCAGTGACAACTGTTCTGGTAAATTATTCAAATAATCCAGCACCTTTCAAAGATTTCAAGAAAAATTATAACGTGATTTTGTAGGCCCTAACTTAGACATACCTTTTTGTGGAGCATTTTACATTTATATCGGCTCCAATATGTTAGCTTTAGGTATTAGTAAAATATATTACTAACTACACTAACGAAAGCTTGTTCGTATAGCCAGCTGCGTTTTGTACAAAATTTATTACTTATTTTCTACAAGAATAATTCCACCAGGCCAGACCGCCATGCCCTAAGGGGGGCAACTGTATTGTAAAATATTTTTTGATAGTGAGTTTAGCATTGTATCACCTAGGCCTACCTCGAGTATATTTTTTAGACTAAATCCTTGTTGGATAGTTTCTCCAATCGGTCGCCGATATGTGGGTGTGCGATTACCTCAAAAGAGGTTACCGTTAGAAACCAGGGTTGTGTTGGTCAGTAAGAGACAATCATTATTCCTGAAGACTTATTAATGATAATTTTTCTTAGTACTTAAGACTATTGGAAAAGGAGGAAATGCATAGGTTTGTATATATATTCTCTCAAAATATGGCGAAAATACGTCTATTGCGACTGGCTCTGGATCTCGTGATTGTCATATTTTTTAAGTTTTCGGTTTAAGTTGGATACAAATATATTTCT